CATATGTGACCTGGAAGTTGTCAAGGAATGCATCTTCCAGGTTTTCCTAGTTGCGAATGGAATTTGCTGGCAGGCTGTTTAGCCAGTGTCGGGCTGGTCCTTTGAGCTTAAGGGGAAGATACTTGATGGCGTGTAGATTGTCTCCGCGGGCCATGTGAATGTGAAGAAGGAAATCTTCGATCCATACTGCGGGGTCTGTCGTGCCATCGTATGATTCAATGTTTACGGGTTTGAACCCTTTTGGGAATTCATGATCCATCACTTCGTCAGTGAAGCAGAGGGGGTGCGCAGCGCCTCTGTGCCGGGCTATGTGACTACGCAGTTCGAATTGGTCTGGGTTGCTGTGTTCGGCCCGGCCGGACTTGTTGATAATGTATCCGTCGCGATGGTCATCGTCGCGTGCTGAGGCGCGCCCCCGCGATCCGTAGATCGATCTTGGCTGTCCTGCTTGTTTTCCAGAATATCCTGCAGGTCTTGCCTGTTTCCCCGGGCCGTAGTGTATTGGCGTGGGGGTGCAGGCTAGTATTTGGGCCGATATCCCGCTTTATCCCGGCCACGGGGTGGCCGGTCAGCCGTTTGGCGCTCGAGTACGTATTCCTTGGCTGCCAGGACTTCAGTCCATCTGTCTGTGAGCAGGTCTTGATCAGCCTGAAGTTGCTGCTGCTTCTTATTTAGGCTCCTCGCAGTGGCAATAAGCAGGCGCTTGAAGTGATCCTACTCCACGGGATCCTCAGGCACGCCGAACTCGTCGTCGCCGAGGCTAATCTCGTCTTCGGAGGGGCGCATATAGTTGTCCTCCTCCAGGTACCCGTCAGTCGCCTGTTCGGTCAGGGTTGTATTCCTCTTCGGCACCATCCCGATTGCTTTCACCTCCAGGGCCGGTATTACTGTGGCGGGGCTTGGAGTGGCACCGACGACGCCCATGCTTTGCTTTTCTCCCTGAGGGGTTATCCTCCGTTGCCTCATCGCCATTGGTTTCCTTTGGAGTGTCCACCATGTATATATCGTATGAGGAGGTGGCCGTCCACCACCCTATGAGCGGTGGCTCCTGTAATTCTCCTGCATCGTCGTCCATACCGTCGATGTCTTCGGAGTCGAAGTCCAGCACGTCGGTTAAATCGTCAACCGTGGCAATGAAGTGGGTGGTGGGTGGGCAACGAATTCCTTCGTCGCCTGCTTCCCACTCGAGCTGGACATAGTTCGGCCATGAATCTCCTTAAAGAGAGAGACTTTAATGAGTTCAGTACGTCGCCAAAGGGCGAGTGCTGGAAGATATCCGCAGCGGTAAACTCCATTACCGGAGCCCAACCAGGCTCGGCGGGCTCGGGAGCACGCAGACTGGAACCTACAACCGGATACGAATCCGGGGGTCCGGAGTCACAGGCTTCCTCAGAAGTGAGGCCCGTGTTCGGCTCCATCGCCGATGAGGGTACGGCCTGTGGGGCGGGGTCCATCCCTCCGTCCTTAGGCAATGCAGCCTGCTCCGGATTTGGGTCCGGGGCTACTGCAGGGGTGATATCCCGAGTGTTGTCCGATAGCAAGTCTAAGCCATGCCTGTCGTGACTGTCCGCTGCTCCTGGCGCAGGCCCGAATCCGTCGAAGATCAAGTCTCCACGAAGGTCAGCCGTGTAGTTCAAGTTTCTGAACCTGATCTCATGGCCACGGGCGTAGCTGTCGATCTGCTCCAGATGGCCAAGCGAATTGGCCCACAGTGCGAAGCCGCCGAACACGAAGACCTGTCCGAGGAGGAAAGTCTCACCCTGGACTGTGTCGTTCACGATGATTGAAGGAGCCATCGAGCCTTGCAGCGACGACATAGAGGAACTCTCAATGAAAGCACCAATGTCGGTGTCAAAACCTGCGGATCTCGGGTAGGGGGTCCTGATGTGTGCGTCTAGGATGATGGTAACAGGAAGCAAGGGACACAGATGTTTACCCAAGTTCGGGCCCTCTCGATGGAGGTAAAACCCTATTTCCTGCTTGATTAATATTGAAGATATGAGTAGTACAAGAGTAGATCTACCACGAGATCGTAGAGGCTAAACCCTAGAAGCTAGCCTATGATGGTATGATTGTAATTGTGATCGGCCTTCTAAGGACCAACCTCTCCGGTTTATATAGACACCAGAGAGGGCTAGGGTTTAAATGGAGTCGGTTACAAGGAAGGAAATATAACATCCAGATTGCCAAGCTTGCTTTCCACGCCAAGGAGAGTTCCATCCGGACACGGGACAAAGTCTTGAGTCTTGTATCTTCACGCTTCAATAGTTCGGACGATGTACACAGTCCGGCTGTTCGGATACCCCCTAATCCAAGACTCCCTCACTGTTCATCAAGAGGCAGCAGGTTCAATTGGCTTCAGTTAGTAGCAGTAGCGAAGGAATCACTCGATCGGGTTCAGTTAATGCCAGGGATCGATCGATCGCTTCGGTTCAGTAACGTGTAGCCGGTGCAATCACTCGGGTTCAGTAGGCGAACGCCTCGCTCGGGTTCAGTTAGAGCCCAACGCCTCGCATCCACACGCGTACGTATACGAGAGAGACGCAGAATCCCTTTGTGCATCGCTTAGCCCTGACCACCCATCGTAATCAGGAACTCCTCGATATTTTCCTCGCCCTCGCTTCTACCATGGTTTTCCCGTCATGGACGGCCCAAGAATGTCATGCAGCTATGTCTCCGGCCCGCCCAGGACGAAAATCCCATTTTCTATCATGATTTTTTGTCATAGAAGTAGGAGCTCGCCACATATATGATGATACTAGGATTTGTCACAATTATCATCACAGAAGTGTCATAAGCATGACAGGAAAAAATTCATTCGGCCCAAAATGTCAAGGATGTGTCTTTTTTTTGTAGTGTGTACATACATATGGAAACGCTTCTTTGGGACTGACTGTCTGGGATGTACTGACGACCGAAAACAATTGGGCATGTATAATTGTATTTTTTAACACAACTGTACGTATAACCGTATTTGACCGCTCGCCCTTCGCACACACGAGCTCATTTTGCCAAGCGTGTGTGACCGGAGGGCCTATCCCCTATGGTTTCTGGGTCGTGTGGGAAGGACCCCCCATCGTAGTCACTCACTTGGCGACGGTTCAGAATGCCATCGCGGAAAGGGGTCAAAATTTGTATAGCACCTCGCTCTACCAGTCATGGTTCCTCTCCTGTCTAGGCTTTATCTAGACGGTACGCCACTAGAATGCTCCTCTCCCTCTAGTTCTTCTGGTCGTTCCTCGTGCTTGTCAACGGAGTGGCTCTAGATTGGTACCCATGGATAACTTGGAGGAGTTTACTTCTCCAACACTTGACCGATCGACTATCCTGGAGATATCCTCAAGTTTGGGAGTTATAACCTAACTACAGGAATCGGTGAATCATCACCGACTCTTCTTCCTATACTTCTATTGTGTTAACTATTGGCGAGATGGTCGTTTCCTGTAACCTCATAGTGATCTTGGGATGATCATGTGTGTATTCTTGTTTGTTGCTTAGCAAATTCCCCTACAAAATGTCGGGTGAATGCAAAGAAAGTTTACTAGTGGAGGATACATGAAGAAAGAGGAACGAAACTAAATGGGCACATGATGGGGGTTCACAAAATATAATTATTTTGAGTATGTTGTATTTACATAAATTTGATCTTCCAAGCAACCAGCGTGGAAATGACTAGTTTTCGAACAATTGTACCTCAATTGATAAGCATGAAGGGGTCATATGGTCACGTGCATGTTAGACAACTAAGAAGAATAAGGTGCACCAAAAAACTTCTGTTGTAAATATTTTTTCTCATATAGAAATATTTTATGTATCTAATTAACATCATAGGCCTTAATTATCTTTTCTTCTAAGCACATGAATTGGTCAATTAAGTCATGAAATATTTATAGAGGAATACACTATTCCACAAGGTACATATGAATTATGTATGTAATTATAAATTTAAAAGTGTTTTTGTTTGAAAAACATAGGTATATTTGGGATGATAGCATTAGTTTACTTGTATAAAGTAGGAATGCCTTCTATTAAAACACATGGAAGCTTTACATAAAGGACCAATGCTAGTCGTGATGAATATATTATGGCTTTGTGAATTGAAGACTAGCATAGTTAAAGGATACACTTGAATATTTATGGAAAATTGTATATTAGACGGTAGTATTATCATCCAATTGGTTCCTAGGCTGCTATATGCATCTAAGGAAGTGATATCTTAGGATGCAAAAAAAGGTATCAACATGGCTACCATCATGTAAACCATTAATATGAGAAAATAATATCCCATTCAATAAACTAAAACCAATTGGTTATTTGTTCTTCAAAAGTGTAAAACTTAGGAAACCACCAAGCATATTGTGATGGTATATTAATGGGTGTTATGTGGTAAACTCCCTCAAAATTTGATAAAATATGTTGGTTGACATAGTGTGGGAGTGTGCATATCTTTGTAACGGCTTTCCCAAGAAGTGTATTTTGCTGAAATTTGTAAGAAAATAAATCGAGTAGGGATACCAATCTTACCCAAAGTTCTTCCAGTCCTCATTTGATTACGAAGATATGAAGAATAAATGTTTTGGTCTGCATTTATTGTGGGGAAAGGGTAGTGAGTTAGATTATGTGTCGGATCACTAGGGGTGGCTTGACAAGTGGTTTGCATCTCCACCTCACTTGACAAGTGTCATATTATTTATGAAACTTGGCTAGAGGAATAAATGCCTTGATATGGGTTTATAGAGGGGAAATATTAGTCTGGTAGACACGTGTTTGATCACTAGCGGTGGCATGACAAATGTTGGGAACTCCACATTCCCTTGTCAAGTGTCATATTTTCTATGACACTTGGCAAGGTAGTGTGGAGATGATATGACACTTGGGAAGATAGTGTAGTGATGTCCAACACATTCCATGCCATCCCTATCAAACCAACACGTAGTCTACCTCACGACTCCCCCCCCCCCCTCTATAAAAGCAGGTCAAACGTCTATTCTTCTGATCAAATGTGGATTGGAAGAACTTTAGGTATGATTACAAGCCCCCTTGATTTCTTGTTTAACTAGTTTTAGCAAATATGCATACTTTCCACACTACAACCAATATCTACTATCAAAATAGCCTCCCAAATTTTACCCTTTTGAAGATGAAGAATAACCCAGTTCTAATAAGAATGTTGTTTCTCATAGCAATGGGTTACATGGTGGTAGGCATGTTGATATGCTTTTTATGTGCATCCGGCGATCTCACTTCAGTACATGCATATGGACGCATGCAAAACAATGGGACGGTAATACTACAATCTAATATGTATTTTCTATAAATTTTCAAGAGCTATGCTTTGTCTAGGTTAATTCTTCTATTCAGTAAGGTTTAGGATATGGGTCATTACTAGCATATTCCCTTTATGTAAAGTGTCCATGTGTTTTTCATAAAGGAGTTGCTACTTTCTAAAATGGAACCAATGACATCGTCCCAATAATATCTATGTTTTTTAAGAAAATCAAGATATACAATACAATTATAATTTTCTAATGGAGTTCACATATGTATATAGCAGTATAGTACATGTACCTGCAAAATTTGAAAACTGAATCAATCTATTCACCTGATTAAAAGAAATCATGGATGAAAGGCTATCATTCAATACATAGAATTGTTTTACCAACTTTCTATTTACATTTCAAACCAAATTTTGTGGGTGCACTTTTTATTCCACGTGATGCATCTTTTTAAAACATGCACATCATATGCACGCCCCTTCATGCTTCGGGATTTAAAAAAAAGGTAAATATTAGTTCAATGCCAGTTGTTTCTAAAAACCAACCCGCCTGACCTAAACTACCTTATGGGTACTACATTTAATCCATCTGAATAGAAAAATTGAGTTATAAAAAGTTGTAAGTACAAATACTTCGAGGAACAGAAGTCGGAGAAAAATTGGTTGGAATTATCAAAATAATTCTTAAGATTATGGGGAGTAAAATATTTTTTATTGTGCCTCTTTTATAATATACATTGCTTAGAATATGCTTGTTATGCATGTGAGTCATCTTTGTTGGAAGCTTGGAATGATATTCTCAACCAGTTCTCCAACATGACTTTTTAAATAAGTAATAAATACATATACTTATATGTCTTTAACTATTCACATAGGATACATAAAACTTATATGTGTAGATCTGTCCCAAATAGCACCATCATCTAGTATTATTGATCATAAATATAGTAAAGTAAAATTATGGGTCAAAGTTGGATCTTGTCCCTATGATTTACTTCGCATAGTTTATGTTGTTTCGCTCATTTGTTGAAAAGCAGGTGACAATATTACTATTCTTTTGTAGTTTTTAACATCACCAAGATCAGCCTCATTTGTGTTAGCTGGGAGGAACAAATACAAAGGAAACAATGATTACAATCATGTAAAGCATTCATCACTATCCTCTATTCAAGTCTTTTGTTTTTGATCTAATTAATGATGACATTCTACATTTATCCAAAACATGGGGTCAACTTTGGTCTGCCAATGGGTTATAAATAAATAGATCTTCATTCTGTTTCGAGCCTCTTTATAATTACAAAGATTTTAAATACACCTTATGAATCCGAATTAATTGACACAACCTGTTGCATAAAGATTGTGTCAATTAATTCAGATCGGAGGGAGCATAGAGATTGCAAGATTTCCATATTTGTGTATATTCTCACTAATATATAATTTAATTCGAGGGAGGGGATTCCATTGAAGAAATCTAGGCATCTTCTACTACCTCTTTTTTCACAATTCTATAAATTGAAAAAGTACAAGTTTCTTGTATTGTAACCCGTATTTTGCATATTATTTCCATGCTATAAGATTTTAGAACCTAGTAAAACTTAGAAGTCCTTATGCTCAATCTCATTTCTCTATGAGGACGACATACAGTACTCCCTCCGATCTGTATTAATTGACGTGGGTTTACTATAAAGTTAGTACACCTTTGTAGTAAACCAACATCAATTAATATGGACCAGAGGGAGTAGTAGTATTTCTATGAGGACTAAAATAATGAGTAGTAGTTTATAATATGCATACGACATATACCAATATGTAATAATACATCCTGAGTACAAATATCATGAACCAGTATCATATTGTCATCTCATTTAGTCCTTTGTAAAATCGGAATATAAAATTGGGCTATGATCTCTTATTATCTTTTGACATTTGACTCACTATGATACTTTATCATAGTTTGATACTACAATCGCTTTCACATTCTTAATTGTAGTGACATATCATTTCACAGTTTATGATATTCTTATGGCACTTTGATTGTGGTATGTCTAAGAGTGTAGTATTTCTTTTCCAACAGCCCATCGTATTATTCATGCATATGAGCTAACAAGCCTATTTTCTTTATTTTTTCCTAGGTAGCTGGCTGGATCACGCCAGCGAGCAGCTATGGCGCTCGAGTTAAAATAGGTATATGGGGTTCACAAGTGCAACGTCATTCCCAAGAATCTGGAGCAGCAATAAGTATCAGCACTGTTGATCAAGATGAGCCTTTCAATATGATCGAAGCTGGATTTCATGTAAGTGGAAACATTTGCAAATATAATTTTCAACATTATTATGAACTCAAGCACTACTACAAAATAAAAAAAAATTACAATTACGGTTGATGTAGGTACTTCCTGAGTTATATAATAATAATGATGTCCATTTCTTTATACGATGGACAGTAAGTCTATAATTTATTGTCATCAAGGTAAAGTTAAATGGTGCCATTTGCATATGTTTAATAATATTACAAATTTTTTTGTCATCCTATATAACGACGACCACAAAGCAACGGGTTGTTATAATTTGGAATGCCATGGTTTTGTGCCTGCTAGTGGAGCTGCACTTGTTCCAGGTCAAGCTGTTGCTCCTCCCTCAACTTACGGCCGGGACGACCGCTACATAACAATTAGCCTGCATACAGTACGCCCTTGTACTACTAATCTCATAATATCAGTTTGTAGACCATCTAGAATATGAAAGTATTTTTTGTTCATGAAATCAGAATGTGTAAGAAAATATTTTCCCCAACAGAAAAGTTCCATCGCCTCTTGCTGCCAACGAAATTACAAATTGCTAGAATGAACATGCAATAATCTCCAATATAAACTACCCTATTGTACATTCAACATATTCTTATATATTATATATTTACGAAGTATGTGTGTGAGTTATAAATGTAGTCATAGTTATAGCTTATTCCACACTACTACCACTAAAATCCATCACATGGAAATTATTTTAGGGCGTATTGGGGCATATTAATCTTGAAATGGTCTAGGGACGTAATAATAGGTACGTGTCCCTTTGGTCTTAGCACAGGATACATGTAGCTCACCATAATATAGGGGAAAATCTAGAAACAATTCAAACATTGATGTAGCACATATTATTTATTTTATGAGCTGGATAATAGTTGTTAATGTTACTTCCGACTCGTGTATGCTTGGACAAGAATAGCACATTTACTCCACAGCAAATATTTTGAAACAAAGGGAGCAATAAATAACTAAGTATGTTACAAAGTTGTACTAAAGCAACCACAATTAACATGGAGCGGAGGGAGTATCTTGTTTAGTGAATACGTAAAGCTTGTTGAAAAATGTACTTCATTATATCCAAATTAATTGACACAATACAATGTAAAATGGACATTGTATAGAGGCTACATCAATTATTTCATATCAAAGGGAGTATTATTTTACTATGTAATTCCTTTCTCCACACCCTAATAGCTTTTAGTGCCATATTAATCTCTATCTGCAGCCTAGCAAATTTTAGTACAAGGGTATTAACATATCAAGGGATTACTAAACATTTTTATCATTTTCTGTAACTTGTAGGATGCAAACACGAGAGATTGGGTGTTGTATCGAGACGACTTGCATAAACCTGCATTTTTGGGGCATTTTCCAAAAGAGCTTTGTCCTAGACTGTATGGTATAGCCTCCGGAGTAGCATTGCTTGGATTTGTCAATTACCAGGATAGGGATAAAGGTGGTCCCGCAATGGGTAGTGGTCATTTTCCGGAAGAGGGCCAAAGGAAAGCAGCATACTTCAAGAATATCAAGCTCTTTGATTCCAAAGCTAATGTATATGATCCGAGTGGCTTGGTTAGACTTGTCACCAGGCCAAAATGTTACAAAATAAGTGAGGTTCTCCATGCTAAAAAGGACGGCTATATGTTTTACTATGGAGGTCCAGCTGGTTGAATGGGTTGACGAGTATCACTTGTCGAGCATAATAAAAGTGATAAACATATCATTGAACACACAGCTCTCATGTGATGAGTAATTACACACATATCTCTCATATTGTTATAAATATGAACTCAAACCTTGTCTACAAGACACAACATCTCGGCAGTGTAAAACAAATTGGCAAGAGCTGCCATGACTTAGTAGTTAAACAAAATAAGATAAAGCAACATGTGTTGCTATGAGCTATAATGCATATATAAATGAATCAAACAAATGATTAAGGTCGTCTACAATGTCAAAGTTTATTTTTCTCTTATACGTTCGGACTATTCTAACATCAAACATATGCTTAGTAGACTCCCCAAAATTCAACCGTCTAGACAATCTGGTCTCCCCCAAACCCAGAGCATATGTGGGGGAGAAATGTGTTGTCCAGACTATCCTACATGTTATCTCCAACATGCGGGCCCAACACAAAAAACCCACCCCACGACGCACCATTCTCTTTTCCCGTCGTACCCTTCCTTATCCACTTCATTTCCCATCGTAGCGAGACATTTCTCGCTGGACTTTAAACCGTATGACGCCCACCTCAACTTCACGATGCATTATAACAGGGACGAAATATTTCATATTTACAATATAGTAGAGTGGGCTATCTAACACATACTATTGCCACAAAACAACAAATAACTGGAGATATCATTCTCAAAGGTCCATTCAACTTTGCAAATTTATGCAGTAAAATGACATTTTTTCCGGGTTTCTAATTGTATCACAACAGGTGCCAATATTTTTCTTCCATTTCTCATATCTCTCATCTATTTAGAGTTTGCAAGGCCTTCAGTTCAACATGTGAATGTCATGATGAAATGACATCATATGTTCCTTTAATTCTACAACTGATGAAACAAAACGACACGCACATACACACTCACGTAGGAGGTGAGTGGCAGCTTGAAAATATTCCTAGTCACCAATAAGACCCACCTAAAGCCCACACACCATTCATTGCTAGAATGAATACTTGTTGTTCTTCTCTTCCTCGTCCTTCCCTACATCTTATACACCTAGCCTCTTCGCTAACCCCTTTCATTGGCGCCAACCAGGACCACGTCAATATTAGTGTGTTCATCAGCGACGACTCATGTTCATCTTCCTCCATTCTCGCTAGCTTTAATTATCGTTCCTACTTATTTCCAAGAATACACTTTCTTTGTTTTTTCACATTATTTTATAGAACGCTCTTTCCTTCTCCAACACCATGGACCACTTGGTCACTTTACTGCCTTTTCCTTGTTATTCTTGGAGCACTCTTCCTTTCTGACCATCAGGCTAATGTAGTGTCTTGTTGTCCTCACCCAGTTTCAGAAAAACCATCATTGTGTGGACATCCTGCAGAGCATGATCTTAATCCATCTTGGTGAATGCTTGGTCGACCATGTCGCGAGCGCATCATGGTTATTGTCCATGTTGGCTAGCGGTGCTCAGTCATGTAGCTACAAGCTTGTTGACTATCCTTGTCCGCGAGTGTTTTCAAAATGATTTTGGCATGATTAACTCCCTGCTTAATTAATTAATTACATAAATAAATAAATACCTAACTAATTCTCTGCATGCCTAATCAACTGCCAACCAAATCAATTTATTATTTGCCTAACTGGGTAAAAATCCCTATGTAGTCATAATTAATTGTCTGTCTAATTACTAATTGCATTAATGACTCGGTTTTCACATTGATTTTGTGCAAAAAAGAATCATATTTAAATAAACCTAATTAACATGTAATTAACTGTCTATCAAATTAATTGCATTCATGGTTTTATTTCGAAGATAATGAAGCGTTTGATTTCCAAATTATTTTCACATGCATGACTGCTACGAACGACGATTACGTAAAAATTCCCCTTGACGATAGATATATTACACTTTTGATGCACCACTTGTAATGGAATCATTTCTGCAAGGCCAACCGAGTATTGTAGGACACATTTCCTTAACGAATTTCTCGACATTTAAATCGACACACTTGATTTGAGAATGTAATCTGCCTTGCTCTATGTATGGCCGACAAGAAATATAATATGACCGCATCCATGAACGCATGTAAGTGGCGGTCCAGTGACCCGCCTGCCACCATGGAGGTGAAAGTGTGCAAGGAATAAAAAACCAGTATGGATGGGTGATGGTGGGAGGTGAAGGAAAATAAATCGCGGAAGCAGAAAAACCATGTGTATAGGCCTACCAACTCCTCTTTAATAGTAGAAATTTATGTGATTTGATAAGATAAGAAAATATATGTGATGTGTTAAGATAAGAAAAGATCTGTTTGTACCCCTTTATAAAAAACTAGGATGGTCGTTATCTAGCTAGTAGCCGCCGCAGGGCATGTAGCACGCCGTACACGGCCTTCATACGCCCGCGCACGTCCCGGTTGCCTGTACACTGTTGTACGTGGGTTGTGTATGCAGCGTACGTGGCATATGTCGGCGGTCAGCGCGACATTCATGGCAAACGTGGCGGTCAGCGTCAACCACATGCCTACCTGCGCCAGCAGCATCCATTAATCCGGCTTGCTACACCGTCTACGCCATTAATCCGTCGAGGATTCGCACACGCTGAGTGTCATGCTTGTTAAGGATTAATTTTACCTTAATAATCAATGCTTTAAGTCAGTTGTCAAGTTAGTTTTAGTTACTGACAGTGTAATCCTAACTGCCTTTAAAGTGGATATAAATACCCGGTCTTCAATCAATAAGAAACAACTCTTCGATCATTTGCTCTCCCTCTCTCGTTTTATTTCTACACGTTATTAGCATTTTGCCCTAACCTAGAGCGAGTGATTAGGCCACGCATATCAATCTGTCTCCAGCGACGTCCTTTATGCCCGAGAGGCAGCAAGGTTTCTCCGACACGACCGGATGCGTGCGAGCCCAGCCTTCCTTGACGCATCTCGTTGTTCCCGGCGGCAGCCCACGCCCTCCGGGGTGTGGTGCGAGCAAGCCTCACCCTGCAGAGCGGCACGGCGGGCGCAGGCCTCCAGCCGGCGCGTGGTCGCGTGTCCTCAACCTCTCGCATCAGCCCGAGGCGTTTGCGATACAGGCGCTGCGAGTCTCTCGATCAGGGAAGAAACCAGATGCGAAGAGCAAGAAAGCACAAAATTCAGAGAAAGTTTAAGAACAGCAAAACGGTAAGGGGATCATAAGAAAACATACAAGATCTCTGTGATACATCTCGTACAAAACGACAGACAAACCCTGTATCATACAGGTGAAGACCTAGCTAGGATATATGGAAGGAATCAAGAGAAATTGTATGCGCCGATGGGGGAATTATCACTCAGATATATATTACTATTGAATATCTGTAAACAGGCTAGCGTATATGTGAAGCCATTTAGACAGTTCAACGAGAATAGAATGCTCTGGACTCTCCAACGGCTGCACAAAAATTCCGCGCCCAATAAACATTATAGCGCGCCACTGTAGCACTTTTAAAGCGCCGGGACCAACTTTGCTTTAGCAGGTGCCCAAAAACGCACGCCCAAAAAGCAGATAGTGCAAATTGTGAAGCGTGCGCAATCCGGCGCCCCAAATATGCTGCGCGCGATAGCGTTTTTCAGCGCGCGCGCAAAAACTTTTAGCGCTACAACTTCTGCCGGAGCTGTCCGGCGCCCAAAAAAATAAACTTTTAGCGCGCAGAGCTCTTTTTGGGCGCCTGTTGGAGATGCTCTCAGCCACACCCCGGCTGTTATATAGGGAAAGCGTTTTACCGGCAAGACTGTGAAGTGGAATTAATAGTAACTACCTGAAACGGTACAGTAAAGATCTAACGGCTCGCGATGTAGCTTAGCGGAGGAGCGATCCTGGCCGTTGATGACGAAGCGTTAACTGAATCTGAAGTTGTTAACTGAACTTGTCTGCATCTCTGGTCCTGACATTGCCCCCCTCTTGAGCATCGACGAGTCCTCGCGTCGATTCTTGCGTTGCCCGCCACGCCTGGGTAGTTTTTGGAAGAATTCTGGGAATGAGTACTTGATGAAATCCGCATCCTCCCAGGCCTCATCTTCATTTGACAGATTTTCCCATTGAATTTGCCACTCTACCACTGGTGCACTGTTGCGCGGAACTTGCCTGACTTGCAGAACTACGGCCGGACTCGTCTTGATCGTTCCGTCAGCATTAACCATGGGAAGGTTTGGACTTGGAATTGCTTTTGCTCCAATGTGCCTCTTGAGTTGACTGACATGGAAGACAGGGTGTATCTGAACTTTGCTAGGGAACTGAGGTTTGTACGCAAAGTTCCCCACTTACTGGACTATGAGGAAAGGGTCGTAATACTTGTTCTCCAATTTGAGCACACCTCTGAATCCAAATGCTGCTAATCTGTAAGGAGCCATCTTTAGGTAAACCATGTCTCCCACTTGGAAGCTTCTCTCTACTCGTTTGAGATCGGCATAGCGCTTCATTCTGTTTTGAGTTGTGCACAGATTCCCTTTTAGCTGCTCCGGCATTTGTTGTTCAGCAGTCAAGAAATCCTGTGCTTCCCCATCATCAGGACCAAGGATTGCCAATTCACAAATGAGTGGAGGTGGGAATCCATAAAGGGCTTGGAAGGGGGACATTTTCAGAGCAGTGTGGTAAGTGGAGTTATACCAGTATTCTGCTAGAGGCAACCAGGACATCCATTTGGTAGGTTGATCAGTTGTCATGCACCTCAGATATGTCTCTAAGCACTGATTCACTCGCTCTGTTTGGCCATCCGTCTGGGGATGATAGGTCGTGCTGAACCTTAACTCCACCTTGAGTGTAGTAAAAATGTCTTTCCACAGTTTGCTTGTTAAGATCCTGTCCCTATCAGAAATAATGAGCTTGCGAGGTCCATGTAATTGTATGATATGGTCCACAAATTTCTGAGCCACTGGGAGAACTAAATATGGTGGGACAAGGGAATGAAATGACTGTACTTGGTGAATCTATCGATCACAACCATAATAACATCTTTTCCTTGGG